TATCAATGTGAATCCTTTCATGAAAACTGCCATTACTTATACATAGTGACGTCATTTGAATGCTGTCATTGCAACAATGTATTTTTTTTGGATACTAGCACACTTGTTGGTAAAATCATCATAAACGAGAAAAGATCGGATCGTATATTGTAAATTATCTGAAAATATACTGTTATATAATTGTAAAATCAATAGTGGTCTGATGGATGCAGTGTTATACCGAAAAGGCCCCTCCAATTCTACATTGACATGTCTACCATGCAAAACAGAAGAAACGAAGACTAGAGGACCGAGGATTTGAATGCATGTATTTTTATTAGCTAAATGTACAATGAAATATGGGTTTTTTCTTCTCTCGTCTTCCATACCTATTCCCACTGATATGTAACCAGAAAACAAAAAACAAAGAAAACCATTTATCAAATTTTACCAGTGGAAAAAAAGTGTTGCTTTTCAAGCCCCAATATACGTAAAAATCACTATAAAAAAACAAACTTTATCTTGTTTTCCCCGTAATATATGTAACAAAACAAATACTTTCCTTTAATTAAAGAAAATAAAACTGACTGTTTTTAATTTAAATAAAAATTGAAAAAATCGGAAAATAAACTATGTGGGACCCACAATAATTCATATATTACCGCTCGTAGCGATGACATTGCGCATGCGCATATTCCGCGTGTGTAAGCATGGCAGACACAGTACAGACGTTCACCAGTCGCTTCCTTTTTTTCCAATCGTACATCAGGCCAGTTCTGAATTTTTACGTTATAATTGTACGTCGTATCGTTTCTAAACTAATTATTCCTTCTAATAATTTCCCAAAAACTGAATGTTTATCACAGGAATACCTCAAGTCTACGACAAGACTTCGCAAACAATGTTTGTAAACAAAATCTTACCGTAGACATATCTGCATGTGCTTCCTCTATAAGTAGAAACCTCAACTCTCGCGAGATCATGTCTTGAACTTTCCGACTTGGTTCGGCAACAATCGTAATTTCGATATCTTAGAGAATATCTCAATAATTATGTGTGATTCTACATTAAATTTTTGGTGAATGTTACGTATATTGGGGCTTTAAGCAGTGACACATTTTTGTTATTTTTCTCTATTGAAAAATAAAACATTTCTTGACGTACGCGAATGGAAACAAAAAACACAAATCATTTAATAAAACTGAAAAACTGTAAAACCCGGTACAAAGAAAAAACCCACGAAACTAGACATCTGTAGTCGTGTTGTTTTCTGGTAACACGACCTTCAATTACACCACAAACTTTCATTTCCTTAGAGGGCAGCAATCAATGTAGTAACTCGCATTACCTTATCATAGATCATAGTGCCCAACCGAACGTCTTGAAACTGAAACTAGACTTGGTGCCATTAACAGTGACAGCGACGATCGAGGTTGCCGCCATATTTTCAGCCGCATAGTAATTTGTCACAAACTATTGTTAAAGACTTCTTTTGCCTGTTAGTGACTTGAATAAAACACCATGTTAGTGTAGAAATGAATTATATTTTCATGTATCAACATTTTTACTTAAACTATATTTTGTTGAGTACTTCGAAAATAAAAATAAACAGCGTCCGCGAAAAAGCCTAGTCAGCTTCGTCATTTTATTGGGCTATTTTTGATTGTGGAAATAAAATAGATAGAATCTTTAATAATGTCTTAATAACAAATATAATTCACTCGTGTGTTTGATATTGTTTCTATCTTTCACTCCTTTTGCGCTTGCATTAAAATACTAAAATATTACAAACATTTGTGAAATAGTTTTGTTATTACTGAAGGCACGATCGGATATGCTCTATTCTAAAATGATAATTGTGTAACGCTACTTATCATTGGATATTTTTCATGATCTAATACCCGATATGTCATGAATTGTGACGCGATAATCTTTGTGACATGTTCTCATTGTCTTTTCTTCACTTCAAGCCGGTGATGTTAGAATGTCGAGAAAATAGTGGGTGATATTCTCAATCCAGGGAACACCTTCAGTCATAATATCACAAATAAATAAAACCATGTTTCCTACCTATACTGGGTAATGATATGAAAAAAAAAGTTAGATAAGATAATTCACGCAGAAAATATGTCAGCCCTTCATATGCCTCGACCTACAATCTACCGACAACTATCGAAAAGTGGGCGAAGCTTCTACGTCATCGATGGTTGAAAGGAGCGTTTTGATTGACTAGGATAATATGGGGGACCGTTTCGAACAACTCCGTTGTTCATGGTCTTGGTTTTTGTTGAATTTCGTTGATATAGTGATGAATATAATACTACAAGACTGTTGGAATGGGGATATTATAATTGTCTTTCTGTGTATACTAGAGATTAAATAACGAATTTTGTCGTCTTAATGCATAAACAACAACAAAAACAAGCAGTCTATCCCCAAATTTACACACACACACATTAATCCAAACACCTTACAAAACTCGACGACGTCGTGACCTACGGTCTATACATATTTACACACACACACACATTAATCCACACACCTTACAAAACTCGACGACGTCGTGACCTACGGTCTATACATATTTACACACACACACACACATTAATCCACACACCTTACAAAACTCGACGACGTCGTGACCTACGGTCTATACATATATATTTCACAGGACACTGAGAATTCAAGTTTTATATTTGAATATATATAGTGACTGAACATCTTTTTTTCAGTTTTGTTTTTTAATATTCAATGGGCTGCAGAGCTTGGTAACACATAAATCACTTTGAAAAACGTCCTATCATACTTTGAATGAATTCATTGAAAAGTTCTTATTTTTTGAAACGCAGCACTCAAACGTGAATTGTAATAAATCAAATGAAATGCAAGATTTTTGAAAATATCGAAATAGATTTTAATTTTTTTACGCCATGAGGACAAGGGTAGACGTTGCGATTTCAGCATAGTTATTGAGGTAGCTTTTAGTGACGAGAGCGTGTTCTAACCGGACAAGGACATTTCTATCTAGCCATTTCTGCATGTACCTGTATTTCAGAATTCGTTTGGTCATAGCTTGGTTTACACTTGGTCAATCTCGTTCATCAAAGATTCAATGGAAAGATTAAACGTTTCCCTTCAATGTGATTATATAATATAAATATCTGTCCCTAGAATATAAAAAAGACATAATTGAAGAACAGATGTTCAGTTTTTCTTCTTCTTGGTAGTTACACCCCTAGTCACTATAAAACATATATACATGGACCGTGGATTGGAGGTTCGTTCCAAAACCCCTGGGCTCCGAGATCAGGTGGTTTGTTTACGACGTTAGTCAGTGCTGTTAGGTGGTTATAAGCAGTGGCGATTTGTACCAGTCTGGAGTCGAAGACGCGCACCTAGCACTCCCCATAGACCTTATACAGAAGGTGCCGGTAATGTTTGCTAGATTCTCATCTAATTCGTCACTGGGAAAATCATTATCGATATCATAGCCAAAGATATTACATATAAACGGCAAGCACATCTAATGTGTAGATAACAGAATCCGGCTTTATATGACTCTTGCTGACAGGATGGCACTTTAAAAACTGATTTTAAAAGATTATGTATATATCAATGTTTCATCAGTCGTTAAAGTTTGCCATTTTTGCGGGGGTCTGTGTGTATCTGAATTTATATATATATATATAATTAGTAAAATGAACTTTTTCTACATTTATAGCGCTAACTCGACACGGTAGCATGACACCCGTGCCGGGGACATCATACTGAAAACAGGGACAGAAGTATAGTGTCATCATACTGAACTGTCACAACTTGGCACGGAAGCATGACACCCCATCTGGACACTTTATACTGACTACAGGAACACATTTATAGCGCTATCGTTGTGAAATGTCTCTATCTAGACACGGAAACATGACACCCCATCTGGACACTTTATACTGACTACAGGAACACATTTATAGCGCTATCGCTTTATATCTGGACACTTTATACTGAGTACAGGAACACATTTATAGCGCTATTGTAATGAAATGTCTCTATCTAGACACTGAAGCATGACACCCTATCTGGACACTTTATACTGACTACAGGAACACATTTATAGCGCTATCGTTGTGAAATGTCTCTATCTAGACATGGAAGCATGACACCCCATATGGACACTTTATACTGACTACAGGAACACATTTCTAGCGCTATTGTAATGAAATGTCTCTATCTAGACACGGAAGCATGACGCCCAATTTGGACACTTTATACTGACTACAGGAACACATTTATAGCGCTATCGTTGTGAAATGTGTCTATCTAGACAAGGAAGCATGACGCCCCATATGGACACTTTATACTGACTACATGATATTGACTACAGGGACAATTTTATAGTGTTAACAGACTGAAAAGTCATGACTTTGACATGATAGCGTGACATCCCACTCGCCAGTCCTTGTGCACCCAATTCAATGTGTGAACGATTAGCAGGACATACTACTTTAATGATTCAGTATGCTTCGGCCATATGACAAAACTCCAGGCTGTTCTCACGTGGGCGATAGTATCAAGTGTATAGGGTGTTATCACTTAGCTATTATAAGATACGGAATGTGTAGTGATACATACTTAACCCTGATATCAGCACGAAGGTTCTAGCTAAACCTAGAAGAAAATGTCGTGGTTTGACGTCACTATTACATCTACCTCTGCACATTTCAAAACTGACAATTTTTTCCTGTTATTAAAATTATATATTTGCCATATTACATATTATCTTCAAAGACCACTTGTACGTATACGTATTAAGTAACGTGAACGACACTTGCGTTGTACTTATCCGTGTTTTGTTCTACACTGACGTATAATAACGGGAAATACTAGGCGGAAGTGAGTAACGCCCATGCGTCCGGTCTTCAACCGCTTTCTTCACTATAACAGCCTTCTTGATGCGACACATTAATGTGTCTATTTTTCTGCAGAACAAAAGCATAGTTATTATGTAGCTAAACATTTTCTCCACAAACATGACGCAGAAAATACAACAAGCTGAGAAGGCTTAATCGTCATTTTCTTAAATCTCAAACGTAACTTAACAACAAATCAAGTTGATGAAGCTTTCTGAATCTGATTACAATGGTCTATAGCTACATGTAACAAGTGCTACAGTACGATGTCCGAAATCCCATCGTCACAGGATCTCTCGCCGTGAAAAAGCAACTTTGAGGTACGTACACTAAATCTACATTTATATATCATTTCATGGTGACTTCAGATCACTGCATGTTAGTAATAAGTCAAAACATTGATGAAATTAGTTCATTCTTATATAAACAAACAGTGTTGTGCGTTGTAGGAATCAAAATATAAATTTCCATGCTGGGATCCTTGCAGAATCCCGGACCTTCGTCTGTGTCTTCTACATGTATTATACCTGCTACATGCATTGCAACATTTTTTCCTTTATTGGTTTATATGGATCTTTAAAATATATACTTTCTTTCCTGACTCTTTCGATCTGTACTTCTTTTTCCATTCTTTGTGCCACATGGACGCCCGTCTACATGTGACACTGGCTGTTGCGAGGACAATTAAACAAAAACAAATATCGATAGCAGACAGTCTGATAGATGTCCGGTAAGGCAGATCGATAGTTGACCATCTGATAGTTGTCTGGTAAGGCAGATCGATAGTTGACCGTCTGATCGATGTCCGGTAAGGCAGATCGATAGTTGACCGTCTAAAAGGTGTCCGGTAAGGCAGATCGATAGTTGACCGTCTGATAGATGTCCGGTAAGGCAGACCGATAGTTGTCCGTCTGATAGATGTCCGGTAAGGCAGATCGATAGTTGACTGTCTGATAGATGTCCGGTAAGACAGATCGATAGTTGACACTCTGATAGATGTCCGGTAAGACAGATCGATAGTTGACCATCTGATAGTTGTCTGGTAAGGCAGATCGATAGTTGACCGTCTGATAGATGTCCGGTAAGGCAGATCGATAGTTGACCGTCTGATAGATGTCCGGTAAGGCAGATCGATAGTTGATCGTCTGATAGATGTCAGGTAAGGCGGATCGATAGTTGACTGTCTGATAGATGTCCGGTAAGGCAGATCGATAGTTGACTGTCTGATAGATGTCCGGTAAGACAGATCGATAGTTGACACTCTGATAGTTGTCCGGTAAGGCAGATCGATAGTTGACCGTCTGATAGAGGTCAGGTAAGGCAGATCGAAAGTTGACCGTCTGATAGATATCCGGTAATGCAGATCGATAGTTGACCGTCTGATAGATGTCAGGTAAGACAGATCGATAGTTGACAGTCTGATAGATGTCCGGTAAGGCAGATCGATAGTTGACCGTCTGATAGTTGTCCGGTAAGGCAGATCGATAGTTGACCGTCTGATAGATGTCCGGTAAGACAGATCGATAGTTGACCGTCTGATAGTTGTCCGGTAAGGCAGATCGATAGTTGACCGTCTGATAGATGTCCGGTAAGGCAGATCGATAGTTGACCGTCTGATAGATGTCCGGTAATGCAGATCAATAATTGACCGTCTGATAGATGTCCGGTAATGCAGATCGATAGTTGACCGATAGTTGACCGTCTGATAGATGTCCGGTAAGGCAGATCGATAGTTGACCGTCTGATAGATGTCCGGTAAGGCAGATCGATAGTTGACCGTCTGATAGAGGTCCGGTAAGGCAGATCGATAGTTGACCGTCTGATAGATGTCCGGTAAGGCAGATCGATACTTGACTGTCTGATAGATGTCCGGTAAGACAGATCGATAGTTGACTGTCTGATAGATGTCCGGTAAGGCAGATCGATAGTTGACCGTCTGAAAGATGTCCGGTAAGACGGATGGATAGTTGACCGTCTGATAGATGTCCGTAAGGCAGATCGATACTTGAAATCTGATAGATGTACGGTAAGACGGATCGATAGTTGACCGTCTGAAAGATGTCCGGTAAGGCAGATCGATGTCCGGTAGATGTCCGGTAAGGCAGAGATCTGATAGATGTCCGTTAAGGCAGATCGATACTTGAAATCTGATAGATGTACGGTAAGACGGATCGATAGTTGACCGTCTGAAAGATGTCCGGTAAGGCAGATCGATAGGTTACCGTCTGATAGATGTCCGTAAGGCAGATCGATAGTGGACCGTCGGATAGATGTCCGGTAATGCAGATCGATAGTTGACCGTCTGATAGATGTCCGGTAAGGCAGATCGATAGTTGACACTATGATAGATGTCAGGTAAATCAGATCGATAGTTGACTGTCTGATAGATGTCCGGTAAGGCAGATCGATAGTTGACAGTCTGATAGATGTCCGGTAAGGCAGATCGATAGTTGACCGTCTGATAGATGTCCGGTAAGGCAGATCGATAGTTGACCGTCTGATAGATGTCCGGTGAGGCAGATCGATAGTTGACCGTCTGATAGATGTCCGGTAATGCAGATCGATAGTTGACCGTCTGATAGATGTCCGGTAAGGCAGATCGATAGTTGACCGTCTGATAGATGTCCGGTAAGGCAGATCGATAGTTGACAGATGTCCGGTAAGGCAGATCGATAGTTGACCGTCTGGATAGATAGGTAAGGCAGATCGATAGTTGACCGTCTGATAGATGTCCGGTAAGGCAGATCGATAGTTGACCGTCTGATCTGTCCGGTAAGGCAGATCGATAGTTGATAGTGTCCGGTAAGGCAGATCGATAGTTGACCGTCTGATAGATGTCCGGTAAGGCAGATCGATAGTTGACCGTCTGATAGATGTCCGGTAAGGCAGATCGATAGTTGACCGTCTGTTAGATGTCCGGTAAGGCAGATCGATAGTGGACCGTCTGATAGATGTACGGTAAGACGGATCGATAGTTGACCGTCTGAAAGATGTCCGGTAAGGCAGATCGATAGGTTACCGTCTGATAGATGTCCGTAAGGCAGATCGATAGTAGACAGTCTGATCGATGTCCGGTAAGGCAGATCGATAGTTGACCGTCTGATAGATGTCCGGTAAGGCAGATCGATAGTTGACCGTCTAATAGATGTCCGGTAAGGCAGATCGATAGTTGACCGTCTGATAGATGTCAGGTAAATCAGATCGATAGTTGACTGTCTGATAGATGTCCGGTAAGGCAGATCGATAGTTGACAGTCTGATAGATGTCCGGTAAGGCAGATCGATAGTTGATCGTCTGGATAATTGACCGTCTGATAGACCGTCTGATAGATGTCCGTAAGGCAGATCGATAGTTGACCGTCTGAAAGATGTCCGGTAAGGCAGATCGATAGTTGACCGTCTGATAGATGTCCGGTAAGGCAGATCGATAGTGGACCGTTTGATAGATGTCCGGTAAGGCAGATCGATAGTTGACCATCTGATAGTTGTCTGGTAAGGCAGATCGATAGTTGACTGTCTGATAGATGTCCGGTAAGACAGATCGATAGTTGACCGTCTGATAGTTGGAAGGTAAGGCAGATCGATAGTTGACCGTCTGATAGATGTCCGGTAAGGCAGATCGATAGTTGACTGTCTGATAGATGTCCGGTAAGGCAGATCGATAGTTGACAGTCTGATAGATGTCCGGTAAGGCAGATAGATAGTTGATCGTCTGATGGATGTCCGGTAAGGCAGATCGATAGTTGACACTCTGATAGTTGAAGGCAGATCGATAGTTGACCGTCTGTCTGATCGATAGATGTCCGGTAAGGCAGATCGATAGTGGACCGTCTGATAGATGTCCGGTAAGGCAGATCGATAGTTGACCGTCTGATAGATGTCCGGTAAGGCAGATCGATAGTTGACACTAAGATGTCCGGTAAGATCGATAGTTGACCGTCTGATAGATGTCCGGTAAGGCAGATAGTTGATAGTGTCCGAAGGCAGATCGTCTGATAGATGTCCGGTAAGGCAGATCGATAGTTGACCGTCTGATAGATGTCCGGTAAGGCAGATCGATAGTGGACCGTTTGATAGATGTCCGGTAAGGCAGATCGATATAGATGTCAGGTAAGGCGGATCGATAGTTGACCGTCTGATAGATGTCCGGTAAGGCAGATCGATAGTTGACAGTCTGATAGATGTCCGGTAAGGCAGATCGATAGTTGATCGTCTGATAGATGTCCGGTAAGGCAGATCGATAGTTGGCACTCTGATAGATGTCCGGTATGATAGATCGATAGTTGACACTCTGATAGATGTCCGGTAAGGCAGATCGATAGTTGACCGTCTGATAGATGTCCGGTAAGGCAGATCGATAGTTGACCGTCTGATAGATGTCCGGTAAGGCAGATCGATAGTTGACCGTCTGATAGATGTCCGGTAAGGCAGATCGATAGTTGACCGTCTGATAGATGTCCGGTAATGCAGATCGATAGTTGACCGTCTGATAGATGTCCGGTAAGGCAGATCGATAGTTGACCGTCTGTTAGATGTCCGGTAATCCAGATCGATAGTTGACCGTCTGATAGATGTCCGGTAAGGCAGATCGATAGTTGACCGTCTGATAGATGTCCGGTAAGGCAGATCGATAGTTGACCGTCTGATAGATGTCCGGTAAGGCAGATCGATAGTTGATCGTCTAATAGATGTCCGGTAAGGCAGATCGATAGTTGGCACTCTGATAGATGTCCGATATGACAGATCGATAGTTGACACTCTGTTAGATGTCCGGTAAGGCAGATCGATAGTTGACCGTCTGATAGATGTCCGGTAAGGCAGATCGATAGTTGACCGTCTGATAGATGTCCGGTAAGGCAGATCGATAGTTGATCGTCTAATAGATGTCCGGTAAGGCAGATCGATAGTGGACCGGTTTATAGATGTCCGGTAAGGCAGATCGATAGTTGACAGATCGATAGTTGACGTCTGATAGATGTCCGGTAAGGCAGATCGATAGTTGTGTCCGTCTGATAGATGTCCGGTAAGGCAGATCGATAGTTGACCGTCTGATAGATGTCCGGTAAGGCAGATCGATAGTTGACCGTCTGATAGATGTCTAAGGCAGATCGATAGATGTCCGGTAAGGCAGATCGATAGTTGACCGTCTGATAGATGTCCGGTAAGGCAGATCGATAGTTGACAGTCTGATAGATGTCCGGTAAGGCAGATCGATAGTTGACCGTCTGATAGATGTCCGGTAAGACGGATGGATAGTTGAACGTCTGATAGATGTCCGGTAATGCAGATCAATAATTGACCGTCTGATAGATGTCCGGTAA